GCTGCTGGCCGCCATGGGGGTGGGGGGCCGAGGTGGCATGAGCCTCTCCCGCCCCGGGAAAGGCCGGCCGCAAGGACGACGCTGGCAGCCAGGCCTCACACCCCGCCCCGCCGGGGCGCTCAGCCCGGGGCAGAGCTGCGCTTCGGGAGCTCGCTGCACTGTAAAGGCAGGGTTCAAACCTGAGCTGAAACCCAGACTTCCCTTTTCTCCCTCCACTGGCATTATTTGATCCAAGTCTGCTAACTTTGCATTTCTAGTTCCGAGGCTTTACCTCCAGGGCAGTATTTGCAAAGAACAGGAGGGAAAAGCTCACAGCGTGATCACTGAGGCACAAGAAACCGCCTTCCTTGTTGTCAGATCCAGCCTCGGGCATTTTGTCTGGTTCCTAGCACTGCAAATCCTGCCACTTCCTTGCTGCAGCAAGCTTTAATGGAAAGCACATCTTAGGGCACAAATCCACTACAATTTACAGCACTTTTAGAAGACACCTTTGCCAAACTCACAGCTGAAGTGTTGGACTGCAGGACCATCCTTCTTCCCTTCATCTCTGTAAGGGGAGCAAGAACTACTGCACCCTCACAACCCACCAGCAGCAGCATCTCAGGCAGGTACTGACTCACTTCATCAAGTGCTGCCTTGGCTGCACAGGAGAAAAGGACACCATCCCATTTACAAACTCTCCAGATCAAATCATGGAAGAGGGGCTGCCCTTCAAGCAGAGAAAAGAGATCTAGTGGAGCACAGCGGCAGTGCCTGCTGCTGCCACCAGATACTGCTCACCCACATGATCTCCCACTGACATTTTGGGCAGCCTCAATAGCCACCCCTTGACTGGAGCTCTCTGCCCATATCCAACACTTTCAAGTTCCTCTGGTGCTTGCTCACAGTCAGACAGTTGATGAAGGAGCAGGTTTTTTGCTTCATTCTGTAGCACACACTGAATCTCCCTCAGTACAGATTGATCCAGGCTGGAGTGCATGCTCTGGGATCAATATTTATCACACAACACACCAGTAGTTTCAGCTGTGTGTTTCTCAACTGCTTTAGTTTCATGTAGTCTTCAGCTCCTCCCAGAAGTCACATTTAAGGCATCTTTGCCAGCATCTAAAGATTCCCTGGTTTTGGAGTCTCTTTGGGAGTCTGGACCTAATGCAGTTCCTCAGCACATGAAGCTGAGCACAGCTGCCAGCACACCTGGGTGCCCAGAGTGACCGAAGGCCAGGGCACTGCCCGCAGTGGCACAAGATGTTTTTACACCACAACAGCTTAAGGTGCTCTTGCAGACAGCACCTTAGATAAAGGAAAAACTAAGGAAACTATTACTCAGAGCATGGTAATGACAGAGGGCATTTTTAAATGTGTCAGGGGACAGGAAAGAGGTAGGGACTTCACCAGACTGTAATAATCACCACCTGCACACTGTAGGAATTTGAATCCTTTCCTCAGAAAAATCTGGATTAACCCAGATCCCCTTCATCTTCCAAAGCAGAAAGCCATTTTTTCTTCAGATATATTAGCAGATCATTAAATTATCTTTTACATCATACTACAGAGGAGGAACAGGAGAAAGTTGTTTGTAGTTGTGGTTTTTTGGTTTGGTTGGATTTTATTTTTTTTAGAACATTTCAGAAGTTATGGCACATGTCCAACAACTTTGGCCTTTTTCCAATGTAAATAATGCTGTAGTCCCACTGGGTGTCTGCCCTGCTTTTAACGCCTGAGCTCATCAGACATGAAATTTGCCCCAAGGGGTAGAAGCCTTCAGTACAACTCCCTTTTCCCAGCTTATGCAAAAGTAGCAATTAGACAAGTAGAAGACAACCAAGTATTTGAACTGCAAAGGCTGCAATGCAAGTTTATACATTAAAGGGAATCCATGCTCTGCACCCATAGGAGGCTTCCACTAAAGAACACATCAACCACTAAACAACCCGTAGGAAGCCACTGTTCACTATGCTGCACGGATGTGGGACTATCCAAAAACCAACAACAGACAGATCAACCAAGGCTACTGGTAAACATTTTGTAAAAGATTTATTTAAGTATCATTTATCACAAAGAAGAAAATACATATAAGATTAAAAGCATGCAACCATCTTCCACATTTGTATTTGTTTTTCTTGCATTCGCAGCACACTGTAATACAACTCCTGTGCCACCCTCGCTTCTTCCAGAAAAATACTATGTTTCAAGACATAGGGTAACAAAAAAAAAACCCCGACAATAAAGGTAAGATAACATATGAGAAAAGTGCAAAGTAAAAAAAAAAAATCATGTATATACCACATTCAAACACCCTCCCCCTCCAAAAAATGGATGAAGGCAAATTGTCATTTGCTGCACGATCAGATTGTCTTTATGAACTACTTTACAAAAAAATTAATATAAATTAAGGGCAGGATCCTGCAGACACTTATAATTGTAGCTAACTTCAATCACAGATTGGCTCAGTTGGTATTGTTAAAAGCCACAAGTTAGTCACATGCATAAGTTCTTGCAGTGTAAGGCCCTAAGGCAATAAAATGTTTAAGAGCATTAAGGAGAAACAAAAATTAAAGCAAACAAAATCACTCCCAGATGTGCTTCCCTAAGTTTATATCAAACATATTTTAAACAGAACAGTTTGCTCCTAAAGCCCTGAATATTTCTATTACTTAAGCAGTTTTGCGAGATTAAAAGACAAAACCTCCAGGAAGCTGGTACAGATGTTAATTAACATAAAAAAATGCTTCAGGCAGGTATGTAGGGGGGTGGAGGTTCCTTCTCAGGCATCTTCACTGCCATTTCATAGGTTGGCAGAACATACTAAAAAGAAGACATTTTGAAGAGATTAATGCAGAAGGTTTAGGACCAAAAAAAGTTTAAAAACCCAACACAATAAAAACATGCATGCCCCATGAGCAACTTAATCCTCTGCTGCAGGCAAATGTTGTTCAGAAGAACTTACTGCTGTTTCTAATAAGCTACTGAGGAAGTGAAGAAACTGCAGCAGCAGTTTACTGCTCTGCTGAACCTAACCCCAGGTCGTTCATTCCACCCCACTGTCTCCCAGTTCTGCAAAGCAGCAGGGAAGGTTTTGACTGGTGCAATCAGAAACCTGCACTCCACTACAAGAAAACATTCTAAGACTTTGTAGAGAAAAGCCTCCTGGTTGATGCACTAGAAGAATGTAACTGAGTGACCCACCATAACATTAGCTGCTTATCTTTCCAGTCTGTTTAAAAAGCTTGTAAACATAACGGATACAGTGGTTTTCTACTGCAAATTTAAATGATGCTGGTTCATTTCATCTAAAAAATGGATTTTACCTGCGGAGGAGCTTCAAAAGCAGGGTACACGGCTATCTCTGGCAAATTTCTGTTGCTGATATATTTATAGCAGTTCCATACACAGTTAATTAGATACGCCTGAAAGAAGAGAGATTTCTCTTTTTAAAGACCTCATATGCATAAGCTGATTCAGAAAGCAGATGCTGGATTACATTCGTATGACAAAAAGCAGCATAAATCAACTTAGTCCATACATATCTGAGGAAAGGTTGCTATTTCACAGGTGAAGCCACATACCTATGTTATTCCCCATGTACCTTTGCTACCACAGTGACTGAGAGTAGGAACCACACAGGTTTTAGCAAAAGAATTCAGACGCATTTAACTAATCTATCTGCCTCAGCAGTGCTGATCAAATTAATCCCTAACTGGCTTATGCTTCTTATGGATCTGAGCCCAAACTTGCCAGGAGGACGAAGACAGGCCAACTGCACAATCCCACTCACCCCCGAGTTAGCATCACTACTGGTCCAACCACCAGTGTGAAGGAGAGGGCACAAACACAACTGGGGTGGCAAGACGACGACAGTAAAGCAAAGAAAGCAGCCTGGACTAAGTCAGCAGCAGCCGTTGTAGAAAGATCTGCTATCGTGCTCTGACAAGGATTAGATTTTAATTATTTCTCTGTATAACATTACTCTCTCTGAATTTTTCATTGGCAAGTTAGCACGTGGTTATACACAAGGTACCAGATTTCCTAATCAATATAAAAATACCATCTACTGTATTAGGCTTCCACTCCCCTCAGTCAGACGTTCCTCTTGGAGAAAGCATAGAAAAATGTGTAAAATCGGGGATTTCTTCTTTGCTTTTTCTTACATTCAATCTGAATGCAGTAAAAGAATATTGTCATGGCCAATGTGTATTTCCAACTCATTTCTGAGTTGACAATGTGCTTTGTCTGCACAACTTTTTGTAATTCAAATGAATGCCTCTGTATTTAGCTCTTCACAAAGAAAGTAACTGGTATTATCACCCCTCAGTAGGAAGAAAGATGCAGCTCTGAATTAACCTATGCATTTCCTCCTTCCAAAACACACACCTTGGTTTGTTAGGGACAGCGAGATACTTAAAAGTTTTGTTTAGAAAATGTGTATGCAGTAACTCAATATTGTTTCACTACAAATTCATTACAAATATTAAATTTATCTCCACCTATGCAAAAAGATGGTATTTGAAGTCTTTGTGCATTCCTACTTCCTACTGAGAAAGGGCAGAGCTGCATAAACATGCCCCACTGCATACAAACAAGTTAGCTGAAGACACCGGTACACAGAATGTGAGACTTAAATGATACTGTAATGAACTTCGTAACAATTCTGCTCAAAGAAGTTCTTAACTCAGCATTAAGAGGTCAGCTGAGTTTTTAATTCAGCATTGAGTATTAACTCATAGTGATAGCATCTTAATACAGTAACTCATGAAACAGACATATGCTTAAGTTTTAACTTACCTTTAAAATGATAAATAAAGCAAAGAACACCAGAACAATAAACAAGAGACAGCTGGAGTCCAAGGCAAGGAGGTCATCTTTGTAAGGGAAATCCGGCTAGTGAAAAAAAAAAGGAAGGGAGAGAAAGAGAGGAGAGATAAGCATGAACACTGCAGTCACAAATAATACAAAACATCCAAACTTCACATCAAATTAAAAATTCTTGCGTAAACTACTCCCCTAGACACAACAAAAAGTTTCATTTCTCAGCAGTTTCTTCTTTATCCTCCCACAAAGCACAGTGTTTATCCTGCCTCTGCCCTGCAAGAAGAGGGGACTACAGAAGAGGGGTACTTATACAGAAGCCTTGTACTATGTCCCTAGTCATTTCCTCAGTCTCATGTTAATATAGATTTTTGCACTTAGACAGCATTTGTACTTAGTGTCCTCTACCTAGTAACACACACGTGCACAGAGTAGAAAGGAAAAAAGTTGCCCCCAAACTTCAGAAAAGACAAAACAAAGAGCTTTTGCAAACTTCAGACTCTTCTCTTTCCCTGACCACAGTAACAAAACCTCTCTCCATCACCAATACCTTTTTTGTGTTTATATCTGCTTTAAAAGGATTTTTCTAAATATCTGCTTGAACAGATTTAAACAGCCAGAAAAAGTTGGCGATCCCCATTAACTGACAGTGTATTCTATCCACCGAGTCATCTTGCAGTTAAATGTGTGAATGACAACTCCATTACAGTTTCCTTAGAAGGAAGGTGGTGTTGCAAAATGAGAACCACATAGAACATACAAAGAAACGTTCAGAATCTGATTCCACCCTCTAATGCTGTAAGACTCTACATCATTAATTCTTGACCTATACTCTTCTTCCCCTTCCCCACTAAATAAGGCTCAACACATTTTTAACCTGCAGTAGCAAGCCTGCCACAGAATCACATCGCTTCTAGCGTTAGAAACTTCTTTGTTTTGAGTGCAAATGTAGCAGAAACAGTTTAAACCAACAACTCCCATCACAATTCTCTCTCTACTCTCCCTGGCTTTTGTTTTAGGAACCAATGACACCTCTGGCACTTCCTTCCACCTTTGATACGCTCTCATTCTCATAACCACCACAGCAGTCATCCCCTGCAGTTGCTGCAGCCCAAATTCCTTTTGTGTGCATAGGAAGGTAACTTCAGCTCAGTCACTTATCCAAGTAAACCAAAGTTTAATATTCAATGTAAAATAAACACTTACCAACTGATCCAGGTAATCCTTGATTCTGGGCAAGTAGGTTAGAGAACTGATAGCAACCAGACAGCTGAGCACAAAGTCGAAGAGTTGGTAACAGAAAAACGGGATCAGCCAGCCTACACGATGCTAAGAAGGGAAAGAAGGGAAAAAAGAAACCAAAACCAGCCTGTAAGGTATTTCATTAAAAATCCATGTAGCAAGTTTAAAACCACGTACTCTAAGTGTACTTACTGCGATTGCACCGTACACCATCATTGCACTGATTGTGAACATGAGGAGGGAGATAGCAAATAGAACACAGGCATTTTCTGCATTAAAAGAAAAACAATAAGCATCAGTCATTTCCTGAAGTTGTGGCACTGCAGCTGACAGGTACACAAGCTCTATCCATTACTATAATCTGTTCTCTACTATGATCTGTTCTCCCTCAACTGTTTCATCTGTGCAGCAGCAGAATTGAGTAACTCAGATCTCTCCCAATGGAAAAAAAAAATCTGTTCAAGAAAACCAGCAGGCGTTTGGAAAAATCCCTCTGCCTCAATCAAAGGCCTGAATAAAGCGCAGACACACCAATTAGAAGCCTGACATAGTTTGATAGTAATGCAACATAATGATACTGATTTGCAATACATGTCAGTGCTAGAAGTATGTGGGTGATTAGCTTCACTTAAAATTCTTTCCAGTTGTAGAGCTAGCACAGTATCAACCTTTACACTTTAAAATGGTTCGATTATGTAATTCGGTCACTGGCAGTGGCAGCAGCACTGCTCCTTCAGTACACCAAGGAAAACAGGAAATCCCTGTGTGGAAGGTACCCCATTATTTACAAGAAAAGGCAGTTGAACAGAAGCCAAATGGTAGCAGAATCCAGGACACTCATGGAAACCAAGTGATAAAGATTCTCCTCAACCAGTTACCGATGAGAGGGCAACAGCCACTTTCCATGAGTTAGAATATACTCCTTCCCCTACAGCAAGCACAGTTTACATTTTTAAATGGAGAGAAAGAAACCAGCCTGAGAGCCTACAGATGTGGTAAACTCGTGTTTTCACTGAAGCCAAACTTTTGTGGTACCCACGCTTGAAAAAGATGATCTGAAAATCCTAACTTTCTCGTCTGCAACTGATTTGAAAAGATACACTGTAGAAGCACTTACATACCCAATTCAGTACAAGATGATAATAATATCTACATACGCAGATGGCATCAAGGAGGCCCTCTCATGTCTGAAACAGTGTTGATCAGACAGCCCTAAGTACAACCAAAGAGCGTGGTTTTCTTTTGAGGATTTGCTACTCACAGTATCCACATGCACAATCAAAACTGTAATCATGCTTCATGCACACAAAACCCTGTAGCCCATAACCCAACATGGGAAGCAAGAATCTTTAAATCAAAAGCATGTCATAGCCATTTTATACTAAAGAGTGGAGAAAGCACCTTCAGAAGCATCTCTCAGTCATGTAAGCTTAAGGCTACCAAATACATCAACATCTGTTACAAAACATATGACATTTTACATACATCTGCTGTAATTTTACTTAATATCTTAGCTTTAAGCATTTGGTCCTTGTTTTCACTCTCATTTCATTACTAGCAATCATGAGCTACAGTCACAGGTCAGAACTGACAGCTCTCAACTCAGGCCATGAACTACTAACATGAATAATGTAAATCAGAACTCTCAAATCCTAGACTTATGCTGTACTATTTATCTGCCCCCCAGAGTGGATCTGAGCCTCCCTTAGTGTAATACAACAGACTGAGACAAGACACATTAGAAGTGTGACACTAAACGTATTTCTGCACATTAAAAACCAAGCAAAACAAAGCATGCACACAAGTTTACATGTCACACTACAGTTAAGAAACTTAAAGTCATTACAGACAGAAGGTTTGTCACTGATTACACTTCTGCTCACGATGCTTTCTCTTCTGTTTCTTCTGCATGTCAAACTTTAGATAAATGTTTTGGTTTCACTCAAGTACGTGGTATCCCAGTTCTTCCACTCTTCTTAGAAAGATGGTATGGTTTTCCTCTGAGTAAACTCCTACACAATAGCTGTAAGCTCTTTCCTTAAATCTATGAGGATCACCAAAAATTCCAAAAAAGGTCTTTAAAAATAGTTTTCTGCTTTTTATTTTACTGATACAGCAAGGATAGTCAATGTTTATGAAGAACGAGAATTAGAGATGTTCCACACATACTGCAACACTCAAAGCATTAGAAGGCCAAAAAAATCTTTAGAAACCTTATTTAAGATGCTCAGGAGTAATAAAATTCCATGTAACTTTTTATTCTTATAGAAGTCCTCAATCTCAGATTAAAGAGAAATTAAGAAAACAAGACAACAATATTTACAAGCTGGATGCATATATTACACACTAGTGTAAGGCAAATACACCATGATGCACACTTCATTTTCTAATCAAACAGCAGTTATACACCTACCAGCCATCCTCTCAGAAGCATAGTAATTTCCGATGACTTCATACTGGATATCAACAGTTGGTACTATATTTGGATGAGTCACTTCTACTGTCAACAAGATGCCCATCAACAAGTTCACCACCTGAGAAAGATCAGAGTTACCTAAAGGTTATTTACACTGCAACAGTTATTATCTTTTTCAGGACATGCTAATACATCTTTTATTCCAGTTAGAAATAAAATCTTTGCTTTGCCTGTATGTGGAAGGAAAAAAAAAACCAACTAACTTAAAATTACATTTCAAGCTGATTTAGTTAAACCATTACCAAAAAAACAAAACAAAACACAACCCAAGAGCTTGCTAGTCACTAGCTAGTTGTAATAAATCACAACTAAATAATTTTGCAAATTAAGAGGATAGATAGAGTCTGTAAGGATTCAAATAGCATTATTAAAGTGATGCTGCATGATGAATGCACAGGAAAACTGAGAACAGTTAGAAGAGGCCAGGAGGGAAAAAGTACAGCAACAGGCACAATGAGGAACATTTGGAAAGTTTCTGCTCTCCACAACAAATTGAAAGGCAGAGTTAATTTAATGCACAAATAAGGTACAGCACCCTATTCTTTCAAGTAGTTCTGGGGGGAGGCAAGCAGTACAAGAGAATGTGCAAACATCACACAGTAACCTGATTATGAGGGAAAACTTCCACTACAGCTCGAAGCCCCAGATGCAGCTTGGTTCTTGGTTTCTTCCACGTTGCAAATTTTAATACAAGCAGAGGAGAACTGGCTCCTTCCCTTTCCTAGATCATTTACTAAAACCTTATCAGAAAGGCTATACATATACTGGTGAAGTTAAAGAAATCTCACAGAAAGACTGAACTCCAAAATTTGTAAGCGCTCAGCATCGATTATGTGCTTACCAATCCTTCTCCTCACTTATGCTGCCACTGAGGGCTACTTCTGCTTCCCCATTTTCATACATACCAAAAATGCTTTCAGTAAGAGCTCAAAGAGTCAAAAGTAGCTTAAGTCTCTGCAAAATTGCCTTCACAGCATTTATAACCTATTCAAGACTTATAGGGGCGTAGTTTCTGTTACTATATCTGGAGAGACATGCCAAAGAAAAAGGCTGCATAACAAAAAACTCATGATGGCCTTTTCAAGCTGCAGTCATTTTCCAATCAGTATGCAGTATGTCACCACCACTGGCAGAATCTTTTACAACTAGCTTCAAAAGAAAAATCAAACTGGTTTGAAGTATCTCACAACTTAACAATATTTGCCAGATATTTTTCTACTGGCCTGGTTCCAGGAGTCAGTGACAGTAATAGTGGCAAGTCTATGCACAATTACGGAAGTTCTCAGTAAGGAAAAAAAGCTTCTGAGCATTTACAAGGAGTTTTAGCTTTTAAGACTCACAGTTCCAACAGGCTTTTTTTTTTTTTTTTTAAGGATTTTGTAGGATTTTTCCCCCCCTCTAGGGTTTAGAGATACCATGGTGATAAGCTTGCTTATACTTTCTGCTGAAAAGAACCCTTTACTGAAATCAAAGCTGATAATTTTGTAAAAACGCTATAATGTCATCATGTATTATACAGACTTATTAGACATTCCAGCTACTTTCAGCCACTTGTATCTTCCATTGTATGCCTTGGAACATAAAATATAGTAACTAGTACAGCTGGCAGTAAAGAACTAAGTTTACCCACCAATATATTCAGCCTTGAAATGAGCATATTTTCCCCCTTGCCAGACATTTCCTACAGGGCAAACTGTCAAGGTGCTCATCTGCCACTTGTCTACATATTTTACTTTGCTTCACTGTTGTTCAAGTGTACAGATTACCATATTCACTCACCCCTCCTGTTTCATCCTTTCTACTCTGGCTTTCTGCTCTCAATGTATTTTCAAGCCTTCTATTTCCTCCTCTCCAGTGAACCAGGGGTATCAACCTATACTTTGGAAAACAACTGCCTGCTCTATACTGGTTTTAAAAAGTCTGTGTTGATGTTCAGATCTCTGGCAGATGAAACATTGATATCTACTTCATTAAACACAGGGACATGATCAATTATCACTAAATCATTTATTGTTTATAAAACAGTCATCATTTTAACTTAAATAGTGATAAAGTTCAGGATGAAAGATTATTACTTCAATACTGAGTTCAACTGCCATGATAGGCTACCTGCCTTGCTGAAGAGCAAGCAGCACTTGAATTAATAGAGAAGTACTTAAGAATTTTAATGCCTTGGAATGGTGAGACTGTGATCCTACAACTGTCACTTTTCTGATTTTCCTCCTATCCATGGTCCTAGTTTAGCATACAAAAGTCCTTAGTAATTATACTAGTTACTGAGCACAGTTCTAAATATCAAAGCTTTATTTTCTCAACCTTAAATGGCATGCAAGGAAAATGGAAAATTAAAGAGCCATTCAAAATTCAATCTATTAGGATCAGTAAGACAATAAAAATACTAACTTAAAAACAATCAACAAACCCAAACCTTTGCCAGCTAACTCCAGGGTTTCCAATATTCCACTACTGCTACTTGTGAATCATATCACAGGACTGAGCAATTCATCATATTCAATATATGGACTTCAATTAAGAGTTACCAACAACTCCTAATATGGAGTCCTTTTAAGCACAAAGCCAGAGCCTGTATTTTAACTACCACCATTCCTCTTTCACAGAAGCTTGATAACAGCAGGGCTACAAAGCTTGTTTCAACTTGATAGTCAATGTGACAGGCAGCAAGAGTATCGTTTGTATTGTAAGGCATCATCAGAGCTTAAAAGAACATACTCACTGTGAATAAAATGTATGTTCACAAATGGTCTATGTGGAGAAGTAGTCAGAAAACACATAGCACAGGTAAGCCTCCGTGTAGTCTGAAGATTAAAACCACCACCCTCAAAAAAAAACCACCAACCCTGGCAGACCAGCACAAGGACAGTGCACTGATCTGAGGTATCACCTCAGAAAGCCCAGCAGTCCCTATCCTAGTCTTTTTTGTCAGAAGGCAAAAAACCAGTAATTTTTAAGAACTACAAAATGCATGTTCAAATTCTTATTCAAAGGATGGTTCAATCAAGATGAAAAAAGCTTTTAGTTTCGTAGTAATTTAAGAAGTATTTTACTCTTATAATTGGGATAACTGAGCTTAACAGAAGTTTAGTGTAGCTTATATCAAAATCTAAAAAAAACAGCTGGTATTAGAATTCAGCATTTATTACAAACTGGTAACAGAAATATTAGCTCCCCATATGAGTAGAACTCAAAAGACTGTGGGACTGTTAACAAGCATTAGTTTTTTAATTACTGAGTTTTATCTCCCTGGTATACATTTAATGCCTAATCATGAAGTGCCTCAACTCTCTGGTGGCCTGAACATGAAGTCTCTGTTTCCCTAAGCACTCTGAATAAAAGTCTTGCACAGAAACAAGAATTCCTACTTATGATTTACTTATTTCCTTTTATGAGTGGGAAAGAAGAGGGAAAATGCCTTGTACTACTGCACGTTATAATCTTCCCCTCACTTTTCCAGTATTTTTCCTTAAACATGTTCCTGAAAAAACAACCAAGATGCAGGGTTTGGTAGGTTTGGTTTGGGGTTTTTTTGTTTGTTGGTTTGTTTTTTTATTGTACTGAAATAATAAAAACCTGAAAAAAGTAATTTTAAATAGGGTATCTCAGAGCTTCTAGCACTGTCAAGATTAGAGCAAGACCAGATAAATTCCTTCGTTTCTCAAAGTCCTGTTCAGTGAACAAACGACTCCAGAGATCACCCTGACCCTCCTGCTAACCAGTAGCAATTGCATCATTTTGACTCCACTGCTGAAGTCTGTTGCCAGAACGAAACAGCCACTCCCTCCAAAACAATGTTATTACTTTTAGACTGTTTCTTGAACTCTGATCTGATTTTTGCCAGCGCAGTGTTCATGATTCCGGTTTCTGGAAAGCACTGTGCCTAATAAGAAAGTGTACAGGAAGAAACAAACTTCAAAGCCACACATTTGCAGTTATGGAGCTAGGAATAGGAGGTTTCTTTTTCCTTCCTATACAGAACAGTAGTGGGTGTTGCAGAGTAAACCGAATTATATTAGTCCTGCAACTCAAGTGCAAGTCCGCTAGGAGCGTTCTTAACTCATCTTCTTGCAAATACAGTTTTATCTATTTATCAGAAACGGGGGCAGCATCGGCCTGAAGCATGCTTAAAAGATACAGCAGACATTTTAAAAGATAATGTCCTTGTTCTCTCTAGACTCGCAGAAGTACACAAGGACAGTGACATAACTGTTTTAGTGAGGAGGTTAAGTTAATGAGATGCAAGGTTTAGGATTATACAAATGAGCAAGGAATAAGAAAATGCCTAAATGGTTACATAAGAACACGCACATGTACTAAATAGCCAAAACTCTTATCTTACTAAAACATCTGGAGTAGATTGCTACGAGACTCCATTTTATGTTTGGTATCAAATTCCTTCAGGACTGCACAGCACAAGAACACGGTGTATCCAGTAAATACGGGCTGACCAAGATTTCCAGTCACACAAAGCTATTGTTGAACTAAGCATTCTCCTCTACTAAAAAGCTACCTCCCTCGCAAAAAAAACCATCAAAACAAAAAACCTCACAGAACCTCACACAGAAAGCCATTACTCTTTGTCCCACTGTAACTTAAAAGCACAGATAATTAAAATTTTTAGGAATACTTATCACAAGCTAGTGTCTGAAAGACTGAACTTTGTGATAAACTTAAATGATGCATTAATTAACAACATGTCTAAACAACCTGACATTCCCTAGACCATTTAAGTTTGTCAGCAGAAAGATAAGTTTAATTTTCACTGTCCAAATTGTACTTTTCCTTCAAAAGGGATGAATTATAGTAGAATTTTGATTTAAAGCATTAGACGAGACCACCTAAGACTTCATGGCAAGACGTTATTTCAACTCAAACAGCTCACACTTCTCAGACTTAAAAGAGTTACCACCTTTTCCCAGCTGACAGCTGGGAAGAACTGGATAAAAACATTCAATGCATAGTTTAACAAAGCATTTGTTACAGTTTATAGAAAAACACAGCTATGAAGTACTTCGCATGCATCCTGCTACCATGAACT